TCATTTTCAAAATTTTATGATGTTTCAAAAAGGTGCTATGAACATATAAATATTCATTTTCAAAATCATTTTAAACAACCTCTTCCAAATATATTTTCTGAATTTTCAAAATACAAACTCAAGCTTTTCTTCACTTTCATACATAAGTTTTCTGCACACTTTCACATATTGTTAATCAGAAAACTTTGAGCATTATATCTTGAATCATTGTACAATATTATCATTGGAAGAGAAGATCATTCATTGTTAAATCACTCTAAGTAATCAATACTATTCAACTCACTCAAAATCAAATATTGATAGCTACTTACTTATTTTTCCAGGATTATTGAAAATAAGTTTAAGTGGTTTTAAAATCTTATCTTTCCAGGATTGTTGGATACAAGTGTAGTCACTTTGAGAGGATTGTTCTCATAGTTGACATAGTAAAAATCCAAGAGGATTGTTCTTGGATTTTTTGTAGTTCTTGTTTAAGTTTGCCACAATAAGGAAATCTCTTTCATGTCGAAAGGGGACTGGAGTACTCTCGGACTGTGAGGGGAACCAGGATATATCACCCGTGTCTCTTTATTTTTCCGCACTTTACTATTTCCTATACTCACCATAATCTAGAAAAATAATATCCATCATCACTAAAACCAGAATTTTTTAAAGTACCTAATTCACCCCCCCCCCCCCCCCCCCCCCCATTTAGACGCACTTCGTACTTACAAAAATAATACAAACAGACTAAAAGAGTTCGACCAGGAAAATAAATCTCCGGGAAACAGAACGACTCTGGGGATAGAAACTTGACTCCACTAGAGGAAAATCAACTCCGATGGAGAAATGAGGACTCAACTTTAATGGGGTAAGACCCAAAGAAGAGACAAAGCAACATCAACTCAATAAATGAGGAAAAAGCAATGTATAACAACGATTAACAGATAACAGTGAACTACCCAGTCATAGAGGAGATAACAAAAAGAGAGTGATACCGACTCATAGGGGATAATAAACTATCAACTAAAGGTTGAAGATAGAAAAACATAATAATATCAACTCATAGATGACGATAAACATCAGTACTAAGACTGGTAATAAAGGATTGACATCAGTACTTATGACTGGTAACAAAGGATTGACATCAGTACTTATGACTGGTAACAAAGGACTGACATCAGTACTCATGACTGAAAACAGCTGATTGACATCAATACTCATGACTGATAACAAAGGATTGACATCAATACTTATGACTGGGAACAAAGGGTTGACATCAATACTTATGACTGGGAACAAAGGATTGACATCAATACTTATGACTAGTAACAAATGGTTGACATCAGTACTCATGACTGGTAATAAATGATTGACATCAATCTTTATGATTGGCAACAAAGAATTGACATCAGTGCTCATGACTGAAAACATCTTATTGACATTAGTACTCATGACAGGTAACAAAGAATTGACATCGATACTTATGACTGAGAACAAAGGGTTGACATCAGTACTTATGACTGGTAACAAAGAATTGACATTAGTGCTCATGAGTAGAAACAAAGGGTTGACATCAATACTCAAGTTTATTATGAAAAAATAATGAGCTCAAGGAGATAAAAGATGACAAAATTATGATCCTTTGAAGTCACACAAGAGAATTTGATAGCCTTTTCAAAGAACTTATAATTTTCTTCAACCGTTAGTGATCTTCCATTCAAAATTAGCCTTAGATCCTTGAATAGAAGTTATTAAAGACTCTTCAAAGAGAAACATGGATTTGGAATCAACTTAATATCTCAAAAAATGAGCAAGATATGATCCTTGAAAGTCAATCAACCCTTACCCAAAGAGTGTCAAAATAACTTATAAACCCTTTCAATTTTTGATGACTTTCCTTGCACAAATGAATTATGTTATGTGAAGAGAAGTTGTTGTAGATGATGATAAAAACCAGTAGCAAAAAGAATCAACTCAAAATATTGAAAATTAAGAGAATTATACACTATAATCAATAAATCAAATACTTGCTCAATTAGGTCAAACTTGTTAAATCAATCTTGCATCTTTTAAACTTTCTTTGTATAATATAGCATGATGGATCACATTAGATCTTAAAATGATGTTGTCTTAAAGCACACTTGTTGAAGAATGCATGAAAATAAACAAACTAACCTATGAATCTTCTTAATGAATGCAATTCTCCTTGAAGCAAGCTTGACCTTAAATGAAATTGAGAGAGTTTTTTAAATCAAAGAATTATGATGTCACCAACATAACCTTGAAGTTCAAAGTCTTGGACTTCATTGAAAAACTATTTGACTGAGAATTAATAGAAAAAGGACAACAAAAATTATCATAGATCAAGAAATATTCTATTGAATGTTATCTCATACACTGAGTATAAAAAGATAACAAATAAATATTTAAGCTCCATGACGAGTCAATAAAGCTATTGACTGGTGTCATGTATATATCTGATCTGAAGTGAAATTTGATTTCTCTTAGTAAATTCGATAAGAAAGAATGTGTTTTCATAGGAGATTAAGGTATCCTAAAGATAATGAAGGGGTCGAAGGAAGTCTTGAGAGACATCAAAAGGCAAGACTTGTATACCATTTAGGCTGAGATTGCAAGTGGTTCAGCAGATGTGATATCCACAAAACCTATGTGGAAGACTCATCTATGGCACAAGAGACTTGGTCATGTCAGTGAAAGAGGTCTTGTCGAATTATCGAAACAAAATATGCTATGTGGTGACAAGGTCAAAAAGTTGGAGTTTTATAAACTTTGTGTATTTGATAAATCCTATAGGGTGAAGTTTAACAAAGATAAACAAAGAACACATCGATATGTTGATTATATTCATGCTGATATTTGGGGACCTGCAAGAAATCCCTCACACTCAGTGTGAGATATTTTTTATTAGAAAGCTAAGGATGAAACTTTTAAAAAATTTTAAAAATTGAAAAACTCCTAGAGAAAATCAAACTGACAGAAAGGTCAAGAGGTTGAGGACTGACAATGATCTTGAATTTTATAATGAGACTTTCGACAGCTATTATGTTGCGTCTGATATTATAAGGAATAAAATTATTGCAGATACTCCTCAATAAAATGGTTTAGCTGAAAGGTTTAATCGAACCATTTTAGAAAGAGTTAGATGCATGTTGATTGGTGCTAAATTGAAGAAGATATTTTGGACAAAGACTGTTTTGACAACAAGATATCTGATAAATAGATGTCCCTCAGATTCCGTAGAGATGAAGACACCTGAAGAAGTCTGGTAGAAATATTCACCTAATCTAAACAGACTTAAAGTATTTGATTGTGTAGCCTATGCTCATATTAGGCAAGACAAGGACGAACCTAGAGGTTTGATATTCATGTTCATGGAGTACCATGAAGGATTAAAATTTATAAATTGTGGTACTTAGAACCAGGTCACATGAGGTGTATCATGAGTCGAAATATAATTTTCAATGAAGTTGAAATGACATTCAAAAAAATTGATGATGTTGGTCGAAATATAGAAATCTATGAAGAAGAGCTAGAACGTGAAGAGATTCCTATTAAGGTGAAGCATAGTAATGATGAATTGCATAACCCAAATGAAGTCGAAGAAGAAGCTCGGGTTGCTGATGAAGATGAGTAAACTGATAATAAATACCTGCTGACTAGAGACAGGTTGATAAGAGTCATCAAATCACCTCAGAGACTTGGTTATGCAGATCTCATAGCTTTTTTCTTATTCTTTACAAGTGAGGTCCTTGATGAAGAATCTAGAAACTACAAGGAAACTCTGAGGAATCGAAATAAGACTAAATAGTTAAAAGTCGTGGATAATAAGATGAAACTTTTTCATGATAATAATGTTTGCACCATATTCATCACTGTCATATTTTTTCTCTTCGCGACACCATTTTATTGAAGTGTGTAGGCATTTGTAAGTTGCCTTCGAATTCCATTCTCTTTGCAGTAGTTGAAAAAATTTGTTGAAGTATATTCACCCTCTGTTTATACGAAGACACTCTTGAATATTTTGAAACACTTCAGAGTATCTGATTTTTCAGCTTGCAAATAAACCCATGCTTTTCGACTATAGCCATCAATGAAACTTAAGAAGCACCTCATCCTACTGTTAGAGATGGGAGATCTGAGACCACAAATTTCTGAATGAACGAGCTCCAGAGACTGAGTTGATCTACATGAACACTGCTTTGGAATGGAGTTTCTTGTATGCTTCCCATTCAAGCAATCCACACATGTGATAGTTGAGGAGGGGAACTTGGGAGACCATGAACCATGTCTTAGTTATGCAGCGTGCGTAAGCCCTTATGACTGAGATGACCATAGTGTTCATGCCAGAGTTTTGACATATCAGCTTCGTCACTATTAAGACAAGTCACTTCCATATTCTTTTCTTCATGTATTGCACGTGTTTTTGGTGGTTTGAACATGATAGTGAACATCCTGTTTGTACTCAATAGATTTCACAATCAATCCTCTTTGAGGATGATATATACTGCATGCTTCTTCTTGAAACAACACTGCCAAACCTTTTTCTTGAAGCTGACTGACGCTCAACAAGTTATTCTTAAGTTCAGGTACAAAATAAGCATCTCCAACAATGTACAAGATTCCTCCTAGCATTAGTTTGACATCATCACCTTTTCCAGCTACAAGAGAAAGTCATATAGGAGTTTCAACCAACTAAAAAAATACTCTGCAATTCAGATAGGAGTTTCAATTTTTTTAAATAAAAACCTCTTCCAAAGAAGTTTTGATAAAACATAAAGTGCTAAACGGAACTTAACTTATTTACATTCATACAATAGTAATAAGTCAAGTACACAGTCATGAATACGAACGAAAACCAGAGATACAACATAACAACTGTTATGGAGAAAATTGCACCAACATCTGTCTGCAATAATACATTCCTTTATTCACATACAAAATAGTAAAGTTCTCATCATCCATATTCATTTATTCCAGGTTCTAACATTCATAACTCTTCATGCATCAAGCAACTTCAACAAGTCCTTCTGCAGAAATCACCAAAAGATACATATTTAGTGCAAAATATTCATGAAATCTACTAGGCAAAATTATGTGGCATCATACAAATTGTCTTACCTCAATGCTAAGAGGTGATGTTGTGGGTGCATAACGCTCTACAACATTGCCATTTTTATCAACAAGGAACTTGGAGAAGTTCCATTTGATACCGTCCCCAAAGAGTCCACCTTTGCTTGACTTTAGATACTTGTAGATTGGAGCAGCATTGGCACCATTTACATCAACCTAGTTAAAATCAAATAAACATCATCTGACTATGCGTTCCAAACCACATCAACGGAGACAAATCTTATTTGTTTAGACGTAACATGGAAAGAATCACATGTTCTATCTCTAGGATGTAGTAAAAATTCAGTATATGCTTAAGGGAGCCAAATTGGAAAAGCAGATGGGCCTCACAAACATTATTTGAGCTACACCCATAAGGTTGGGTATGAACATGGATTGAAGAGATGGGCAAAGTTTTTACCTTGTCAAAAACGGGAAACTCAGCTTTGAAGCGAGTACAGACAAAGTCTTGTATCTCTTCAACAGATCCAGGCTCCTGTGCCCCGAACTGATTGCATGGGAATGCAAGAATTTCCAAACCTGAATAATGACAAAAAAGTAATTAAGAAATGACAGAACACCACAAGTTAGTTGCTTCAACCTTAGAAAAGAGAGGGATCATATTAACGTTTGGTACATATTGCAAGTTGTCCAATTCATCTGGAGTAAAGTATTATTTATAAAGAATGTAAAATTCAATAACCAATATTCAATATTAAGGACTCTAATTGCCTTTTGGATAAACAACTAAGAGCTTATAATGAATAAATTCGCATAAATTGTTTTTATAATTAAAGATAAAATACATTTAAATTGTTGTATATATACAATTAGTTGTTTTCACTAGTTATCTCATAAGTTTAAAAATATATATAAAAAATGTCATAAGCCGTCAAAGAATTTATAAAAATAAGTTCAAAAAATATATATAAAAAATGTCCTAAGCTGTTTTGGTAAGGTCTCCCAAAACTTTTGGGAGTAGATAAACTCAAATAAATCAATCCTAACCGGACCTAAATTCGGTTAAAACTCGGTTTCACCTAAAAAAACCAAGGCTTACAAGTCAGAAATGAGGTTTATAAATCAAAGGGGTTGTCCCACCTAGGTTCTGAGCCTGATTAGAAGTGTTGTCATTGGCTGTCTATGGCGGAGAGCCAAAATCCCGCCATATAAACCTGCAATAGCGGCCAATATTTACCATCGCGGTGAGTCCAAAAACCGCCATGTATATCCACAATAACGGCGAAGGCGGGGCAATTTGATAACAATGCTGATTAGATTACCTTATTTGAACTTATCAACAAGACAACTTATGACTTAATTTTATCTTGTTATATAAAAATAGCTCATTCATAAGCACATAAGGGCTCTTAAGATGTAATTTACACATAATTTATCTAAACAACCCCTAAGCTAATCTTTTGGTTCCGTTGCTTAATTTGAGCTTATACTAAGCTATGAAGGACAGAACTCTGGAAACACGACTCCGAAACGGAACTCTGGAAACACGACTCCGAAACGTCAAAAATATAATGATTCAAAAAAATGAATAAATTAAGTGTCACCGACACTGACAGAAGGTGCTAGGGATTCAGAACAAATATTCTGTCTTAGACTATGTTTGGATAGGGTAAAAAGGAAAAGAGCAAAATGAAGCGGAGTAGAATGGAATAAATAAAGATGTCATTCCATTGTTTGGGTATATCATGATAGAATAGAGTAGTTTTGTCACGATAGAAAGTGATGGAATGAGATGGAATGCATTTTATCTGATATCATTCCATTGTCGATGATACATAACTTTATTCCACTCCATCCTATTCCATCAATCCAAACATACCTTAATGATATACAATTAATTATTTGGGCTCATATACAATTGGTGATGAACTAGATAACACAAAATAAAAAGGCCAACAAGAAAGAAACGTGGAAAACAAAAACGAAAACAAAAACAAAACAAAACAAAGGCAACAGCAATAACGAACAAAAGATAGCGAGCAAAAAGAAACCTTTCTGTTTGTATTTCTCATACAACTGACTCAGCTCTGTGTAATTGGAGTTAGTCAAGCCACTGCATCAAAGCACAATAAAACAAATTAGACTAGAAGTAAATTAAGAGCAAAACAAAAGAAAAATTCAACAAACTAGATCTGAAAGCACAATCTTATAAAGATTAAACGAAATTATCAGAAAGCAATTACACTAGTAGTAGTAGTAAAAATATAGCATACCATTGTGATGCAACATTGACAATGATAAGGACCTTTCCCTTGTAGTCACCAAGATTAACATCCTTACCCTTAGCATCCTGCAAAATTCATTAAAAAAAATCAACCAAGAAATGAATGAATCTGGTAATTGTTAGAGAGATAGAGAAGAGGATTAAGAGATAATAACCTTAACGGTGAAATCGTAAATTGATTGGGGGTTTGATGGAGAAGCCATGGTGTGATTTGTTCTTAGAGCGAAGAACGAAGGGGTTAGAGGAGTGGTGAAAATTGGTTTAGGTTTAGAAAAAGATTTGTTTGGAAGAGAAGAAACTGAGATTGGACAATTTGTGGAGAAAAAGTGAAAGGAAGAAGAAGAAGCAGCTAAAGGTAGTTTTGTTATTGTTGAAAAGAGGTTTCGAGTTGAAGTACAAAACATTGGGATTTGAGAAGAAAATTGTTATTGAAGTTTTATAGTGTAATCTGATATCTAGAACTTGGGTGGTCCCCACTCGGTTGAATGCCACCGACAGAGTTGTGAATGTGAAGAGAATAACGGTTACGCGTGGACGGTTATTCTCGTCTCCAGGTGCACGGTGTCGATGGATGCATCCTTTTTCCATTTTTTTCACCATTCAATCACCACTTACGTCATTATTAATTTTTTTTTGTGGACAAAATGGCTTAAATTATAGATGATTTCAATGTTTTCGCATAAATTTAATGTCTATACAATGTATTTTGTATGAATACTTATACTAATTAAACTTGTAACAAATCCCCGTGTTTGTATGGCTTTTTACTACGTCATATACATTTGTTTTAGATTTTTTTTTTTAATAGAAAAAATGTATATTAAAATTAATAAATATTTTATGTTAACATAATTTATAAAAATATTTGAATCAATAAATTTATTTCAAATATATATTTTTTAATAGAAAAAATATATATTAAAATTAATAAATATTTTGTTTTAACATAATTAAAAAGTATTTGCATCAATAAAAAATTTATTCTCATTTTAAAAAAATAATTAAAATTCTCGTATTTGAATATTTAAATTTATATATATATATATATATATATATATATATATATATATATATATATATATATATATATATATATATATATATATATATATATATATTATTTTTTTGCATATTTAATCATTGACAAATATTTATTCAATTATAATTATAGTTGTATATATCAATTTTAATGATTTGCCTATATCTTTTCGTATTTGGATGGATTTGACCCGTTAAAGTTTTAAATTTTAATATTTCAACTATTTTATACTCCTTTCTTCTCTTAATAGGTGTCTTTTTTTAGATTTTCACATTTTTTAAGGTAATGATTAATTATGTTGATTTCAATAATAAATAGTTTAATTACAATTTTGGTCTCCCTATTTTCCCCAAAACTCACGATATTAGTCCTCCTATTTTTTTTTTAAACAGTTTTGGTCCCTCGTGTCATTTTTCTATCAGAAAGCGCTAAGATGTACCCGGTTTTATTATGTGGCATTAAAATGGTTGTCATGTCATATTTAAGTAATTAAAAACAAATTAAAAATTTTATTAATTAGAAATTTCATTATATAACATAAAAGAATGTGGAAATTATATGTGAAACCTAAAAAAAGTTGTGTTCTTCCATCTTTCTCTGTTTCCATCGTGCTCTTCTTCCATCATTTCCTCTTCCATTACTCTTCAAATAACAGTTAGGTTTTTCATCGTTCTCTTCTTCCAACAACAATGGATTCCGAATCTCTTCAAATATCAAGAGCTTATTCCCTTTCTAGGAGGAGAAAGATGCAATGTTACTGTGGGTTGGATTCACCACTTGCAACTTCGTGGATATCTCAGAATCCAGGAAGAGGTTCTATGGTTGTGGATTTTACAAGGTACATATAAAATCCTAATTTTTAGTTATTTTCATCTTCTAAAAAATCTGGGTAATTTCTCACTTTCACCTTGTTCTATGTTTCATTTAGTTATATGGAAGGAAATGATATTCTTTTTTGATTGGTTTGATGATAAAATACCAAGCCGCTCATAAGAAGTGATAAACTCTCTATTGAAAAAGGTTAATGAGTTGATGAAGAAAGATGGTGTAACAAAGAAGAACGATGATAAACTAAAGAAGAAGATCAAATTACTGATTATTTTGTTAACTCTGTCTTGATTTTTGATCATTATGTTGTTCACAAAAGTAATGTTTAATTGTTGTAATGTTCATGTAACAATGTTCCTGATAATGTAATCCTGTAACAATGTTCCTTTTAATGTGATTGTTGTATTTGCTTCAAGTTTAATATAATTGGTGTATTTGATTCAAGTTTAATGTAATTGTTGTAATGTTCCATTAACAATGTTCCTGTTAATGTAATTGTTGTTTTTGGTTCAAGTGTTTAATGTAATTGTTTTGCTATCTTAATGTTACTAATATGTTATGACAATGTTACTGATATGTTTTTGTCAATGTTCATGTCAATGGTATAATTAAACTGATATGTCAATAATTTTTTTAACTAAAATTTCATAGAAGTCATTAACTAAGGTTACACATAAAAGTTGTAATCCACCAATACAAAATATGATGTATCAAGTCAACTAAACATCCAAAAAAAGTGATGCATCTTACAATATTAAACCAACTAAAAGTCATCCAAAACAACATTAAAGTAACAAAAAGTGATTCATCACAACATTAAAACAACATAAAGTGTTTACAATCAACTTGTCTCTTGAGTTCTTTGCGCCGCTTGAGATTCTTGTGTCATAATTGTTGGTGTAGTTTTATGTTTTTTTGTCTTGTTACTTCCTTTTGACAATAGTTGATCTGCCTCCGTTTTACCTTTGCACGTTCTTGAATTGTGGCCAAAATTGTCGCAGGTCTTACACTTGACGGTACTCAAATTCCTAGGTAACACATTGCTTTAAGTGGGCTCATCATTAGATTTGTTTCTCTTTTTTTGGCCGACTAATAGCTCTTCTCATAATCGGTGGATGAATTGGCTCCCCTTGAGCTGTTGGCCAAAGTCTTGGACCATTAGAAGGCAACATTATATATGAATATGTGGCCATAAAGCTTGTTTTCCTCTACAAGATATACCATGACAGTTCAGTTCATATAACAAAAAAGTACCTAATATCAGACCATTTGATACATGTCAGTTGCTATATAAGACCATGATAGTATGCTATATCAGACCATTTGAGTATGCTATATCAGACCATGACAGTATGGATAAACATCAACCTAAGTTAAATAACTATAACATTGTGAAATGTAAGGATAAACATCAGCCTTGTTGTGTAACATGCAAATGATCGCATGGGCACAAGGAATACCGCATAAGGCTCATTTACGACAAGCACAATAATGTCGTTGTAAGTTGACCTTGAAAGTTTCAAAGCCATTTGTCACATTAAATATGTTGAAATCATCATCTCCATGCCAAGTTGGACTATATTCTCCACCTGCCCGCTTCAACAATTCTATAGCTTTTTCAACATTAGGATAAATATTGCTTTTACATCGACTCATGAGATTCGTTTTCTTCACTATATGAGTTGTGATGTAATGCTTTAAACCTTAGAGCAAAGTAATAACAGGCTTATCTCGATACTCTAATATAACATGTTGAACGCTTCACACATGTTATTCACCTACAAATCACAATGACTATCAGTGCAGAATGCAGACCTAGTCCACATAGAAGGTGGGAGTCCATCATGTCTTTCCATGCATCTCTATTAAGCAGCTTCAATTTCTCCACGACCCTCTCCCAATCTTGTACAACTATTTCCCTATTTGTCTGCCATAGTAAGTCTTTCATATGTTGCCCGGGATACTTTTTTTTCTCCAGTTTCCATACAAATGTTTCACACATAATCAGTGTTCTACATTCGGCCCTAGTGATGCAATAAAAAGAACCAATCCCTAAAAAAATATAACAATTTTATGATGCACAAACATAACAACACAATGAATGAATAAAGTTAACATTATTAATGACTTATCTTCGATTGGTTTGAAATAAATGAATAAGGCCTCTGCATAATGTTATTCATATCTTCGAGTAATAATTCAACAAGCCATTATCAAGAGTCCCTGGTCTCTACTTCCACCATAACATATGCTATAGGATAAATTTGATTATTGCCATCGTTACCTACTTCTACCATTAATTATCTATCATGCTCACCTTTCAAGAAACATGCATCAAGTCCAATTAAAGGCCTACATGTATGTGCGAATGCTGCTTTACACGCCCTAAGACATACATATATCCTCTCAAAAACAAGTCCAATGTTAGACATACCACACTTAATTATAATTTTACTGCCTCGATTAGATCTCCTTATTTCCTCAGCATAATTCCTCAAATGAGAATATTGCTCAGTTAAATCTTCTTGAATTAGTTATAATGATCTTGTTTTGGCCCGATAAGCTTGAGCAAATGACAACTTCACTCCCTAATTCTCAAATGCTTGTGATACCAACCCCTTTGGCTTCATATCTGGAGTGTGTCTTAGGATTTAAATAAATTTCTTAACTAGCAACTCAGTTTTAGCTTGTCTATTCCTTGTTGTCCTATGACAGGTCTGATCCTCCTTCAGAGTTATTATCTGCTAGAACGAATTTCCTACCATTTTACTAAACCTCAACTAGAATGGGCATTCCTTCTCATACTTAACAACTATTCTTTTGCTATCAATTTTATCAAACCACGAGTTTTTCTTCCTTTCCAATGCATAAGACTTAACTGCATCTGTAACCAAATTCTTTGTAGCAAATGCCATTCCTAGCTCAACTTTCACTTCATCTCCATAATCCGAAAATTTAAATTTGGGATACCTTTGTCCATCACCTTCATCTTCACTTCCTTGGAGAGTATCAAGATCATCTGAATTAATTTGATTTCCTTCATCAAAATCAGTTGTTGTTGTTGGTTCTTGGTTTTCAGACACTTGGTTTCCATCATTCGCTTCTTGTGTAAATGTATAACCAGGTAGTTCATCTGTCCAGTTCCAGTCATCCTCCTCTAAGTCGTCAAATTCAATATCACCCAAGTCATCTTCATCTTCCGGAATAAAATTTGAATCATCCTCACTATCATTTTTCACTTCTTACGTTTTTTCATCTTGCACTTCTTATGTTTGTTCATCTTGCAATTCTTCTATTTACTCAACTTGTACTTCTTCTGTTTGCTCAACTTGCACTTCTTCCCTTTGCTCATGTTTCACTTCTTGTGTTTGCTCAACTTGATCTTCTTCAGTCTCATCAGAGTCAATAATAATTGGTTCTTGAATAGGTTCAACATAAGCCCTTAATTATTCTTTCGTTATAATATATGGAGCATCTACTACATGTTCAACATATACATTAGCACTTTCATAACCAACCATATCTTCCCCAAATTTC